ACAAAGGTCAAGTAATAGGTATTGGAACAATAGGTAACATTAACAAATCTCTAATAGATAATATTTTATTAGTAGATGGTTTAAAATATAATCTTCTAAGTATAAGTCAACTATATGATAAAAAATTTAAAATAATATTTGAAAAATATTCATGTCTTATATATGATCATGATTTAACAAATATCTTGTTTAAAGATTTTAGAAAGAAAGATATATAGGTTTTATCCATGAATTTTTATTCAAATGATCATTGTTTAGTTGCATTTTTAGATGATTCATTATTATAGCATAGAAGATGTGAACATATTAATTTGAAAAATATTTTATGTATTTCTAAAAATAATTTAGTAAATGGCTTACCTAAAATTGTAAATAAGAAAAAATCATTTTTGTGACGCATGTAAATAAGGAAAAATGCATAAATCTTCTTTCAAGTCTAAATGTATTATTTCTACAAGTAGATAATTAGAATTATTACATATGGATCTATTTGGTCCTTCTAGAATTGTATCTTTAAATGGAAGTAGATATGCATTTGTCATTGTTGATGATTATTCAAGATATACATGGGCTATAATTTTTAAACATAAGAATGATGCTTTTGATAAGTTTCCTATATTTTGTAAAAAGATACAAAATCAAAAATTCACTACTATTGTCACTATTAGCAGTGATTATGGTGGTGAATTTAAAAATGAATTATTTTCTAATTTTTGTAAAAAAATGGTATTTCACATGAATTTTTCATTTCCTTACACTCCATAATAAAATAGAGTTGTTGAAAGAAAAAATAGAACTTTATAAGAATATGATAGAACAATGTTAGTTGAGTCTAATCTACCAAAATATTTTTGGACCAAAGCAATTAATACTGCATGTTATGTTTAAAATAGAATTTTATTAAGACCTATTTTAAATAAAACAAGTTTTGAATTATTTTACAATCGCATTCCTAAAGTTTTTTATTTTAAAGTATTTGGATGTAAATGCTATATATAAGATACAAAAGAAAACTTAGACAAAGTTGATTATAAATCAGATGAAGGTATTTTTGTAGGTTATTCTATGCATAGTAAAGCTTATAGAATTTTTAATAAAAAGACTTCTACATTAGAAGAATCCTTATATGTTTCTTTTGATGAATCTAATTCAAATTCTAATAATAATGATAATAATCATGTTAATCAATCAACTCCTATTGTTGATGATAATACTAATGATACTAATGTTTTACCTAAAGCATATGTAGAAATTAGAAATTATCCACGTGATTTGATCATTGGTGATATTTCTCGTGGTGTACAAACTAGATCATAATTAAACTTATTTATACATGTTGCATTTGTTTCAATAATAGAACCTAAAAATATAAAAGAAGCATGTAAAGATGATTTTTGGATAATTACTATGCAAGAGCAACTCAACCAAGTTACAAAAAATAACGTTTGGGATCTTGTACCTAGACCTCAAGATAAATTCATTATAGGAACCAAATGGATATTTCGAAATAAATTGGATGAATCCAGACAAGTTATTAGAAATGATTGGTTGCACAAGGTTATAATCAAGAAGAATGTATTAATTATGATGAAACCTATACACCGGTTGCTCGTTTAGAATCTATAAGAATTTTACTTGTATTTGCATGTTTTGTGGACTTTAAATTATATCAAATGGATGTTAAAAGAGTATTTTAAATGGTTTTATTAAAGAAGAAGTTTTTGTAGAACAACCTCCCAGATTTGAACATGAAAGTTTTTCAAACCATGTTTTCAAACTTAAGAAAACTTTGTATGGTCTTAAACAAGCACTCCGTGCTTAGTATGATAGACTAAAAAACTTTCTTTTAACTTCCAGATTTGAAATTAGGAAAGTTAATTCTACATTATTTATTAAAAAAAATAAAGATATATTATTAATTCAAATATATGTAGATGATATTATATTTAGATCCACTAATAATGATCTTTGTCAAGAGTTTGCTAAGACAATACAGGATGAATTTGAAATGAGTCACATGGGTTAACTCAACTTCTTCCTTGGACTTCAAATCAAAGAATTAAAGTAAGGAATTTTCATCAACCAAAGCAAATATGTTAAAGAATTATGCAAACGCTTTGGATTGGACAACACTACTAGCAAATCAACACCAATGAGTACAACTACATCACTTGAAAAAGATAAAAATGGTAAGAATGTTTATCAAAAGCTTTATCGAGGTATGATTGGATCACTTCTTTACATTACAGCTAGTAGACCCGATATTATGTTTAGTGTTTGTTTATGTGTAATATTTCAATCTAATCCTAAAGAATCACACCTTAAAGTAGTAATTTTTTTTAGATATCTTAAAGATACTACAAATTTTGGTTTATTTTATCCAGAGAATAGCATATTTGATTTATTATCATATAGTGATACTGATTTTACTGGATGTAAATCTGATAGAAAAAGTACAAGTGGTACGTGTCATTTCTTAGGACATTCACTTGTATCTTAGTTTAGTAAAAGCAAAATTCAGTATCATTATCAATAACTAAAGCAGAATATATTGTTGCAAGTTTTACATGCGCACAAGTACTATGGATGAAACAAATATTATCTGATTATGGTATAGTTTGTCCCACATCCTTCATAATGTGTGACAATTCTAGTGCCATTAATTTATCTAAAAATCCTATTCAACATTCACGTACAAAATATATTGATATTAGACATCATTTCTTACGTGATCATGTGCTTAAAAGTGATATTTCATTAGAATTTATATCTACTGATAAACAAATTGTAGATATACTAACAAAACCATTAAAAGAAGAAACTTATGTTAAATTGAGAAGGGAATTAGGTATATGTTCAATTAAAGATTTAAATTAATTTTTAAAATCAATACATATGTATACGCATCCTTAATAGTCAACTAATTAAGTTAGTAGTCAACTACATGCACAAGCATTGTATATATCACATTCTATCATTTTCTTAGTAGTCGACTAATAGGAGGAGTAGTCGACTAATCTGAGTTCAACACAAATTTACAGAATTCTGTCAACAATAGTGTAGTCGACTACATTATAGTATAGTCAACTACTTACACTGGCAGTTTCACATTTACAGTTTTTTTAGCATATTGGATCTTTTACCCATCAAACCCAAAACCCAATACCCATTAAACTTAAGTCAAATTGATCTCAACCATTCATTATTTACCAGATCAATCCTAGCCTTAAATATACTTCTATTTAGATCAAATCTCAACCATACACTTGAAATTTTGATTTAATCCTAGCCATTGATTTTTACATAAGAAACCACCATAACTCCTAAACTACCCACTCCCTCACATTACCAAAACCGACAGTAAACCCCTCTCCCTCTTCAGTTCATCTGATTCCAGGTTAGGATATCCTCAAATCTTTCATTCTTTCTCAAAATTTCCAAAAACTCTTGTTGTTTCTTGAGTTTTTCAGTCCTTGTAGTCGACTACAACTTCAATTAACCGACTACTACCATTAAGTAGGGTTTCAACAGTTTAGTAAGTTTCTTTCTCTTGATCTTTCTCAAATTTTGAATAAAAATCATGTCTAGATCTAAGAGGCCTAGGTCTGGTCCTTCTAATGTTGTGGAAAACTATTCAATATATCTAAAAGACCCTACTTTGCTTGCTCAATTCCAAGAATACCAAACTTTCAAAATACTACCTGGCAAATATGTTAAATTTGATGACTTTATCACTCACAATTTTAGTGATTATTTTGCAAATGTTGGAATGTTAGATCTATTTTCCTATGAAAATAAAAAATCACATTATCCTCTTTTGGTCTAATTATTTTACATAAATATCACTAGACTTCTTGAAACCGATAGACAATCCGATGTTCTTAACACTCTTGTGAAAGGAGTTGAAATCAATCTAACTCCTAAGAGACTAGGAAAATTTTTCAAAATTTCTTATCAAGGTGTTAGTCTTCCCAGTATCAAAATAACAGATGAAAATATGCTTTCAAATCATATTTTCCTTCCCGGACATGGCAAACCACTTAATCACTTCAATAAACTTAGGTCTATCCCTAGGTTTATCACCCGAATTCTTGCCTACAATGTATTTCCAAAAACGAGGAGTTTTCATTTTATCTCACTTGACTTAGCCAATGCCCTATATGCTATTATGGCTAATACTCAAGTAAATTGGGCTGAGGTTTATTATGAAAGTCTTTTAGTTCTACCTAAGGGATCTCTTCCCTTTGGAGCTTTTCTCACAAGAATCTTCAAGGCTTTTCATGTAGAACTCAAAACTGAACATTCTATGATCCGTTCTATCGAGTTCTTTGATTCCAATGCCTTAACTCGGATGAAATTAACTAACTTTGAAATTCACCAAGATGAGCCTACACAAGAACAAATTCCACAAGATATACCACAATCCTCTCATGAAGCTGGACCCTCTTCAAGCCACATTCCTCCACCTACGCAAACTGAACCTTTGTGCTTTTCTGATGCACAATATAACACTTTGTCTGCTCGTATTCTAGAGTTGGAGACTGGACAACGAGCACTCTATGCTCAGAATTCTTCCATTTTGAGCTATCAAGAAGAAATAAACAAGAAGTTAGATAACTTGGATCTGAAGCTCAGTGCGTATTGCCAAGGAAATCCACCTCCTCTAGGCCCTCCAAGCTAGAAAATCATGCATGCATCATATAGCATTTGGACTAGTTTCAGCTTGTGTGTAATTATGTCAACAAAACAATTAAGTTCTTTGTTTGTTTAATTATGTCAACAAAACTATGTGTTAGTTGTTTGGTTTGTTTAAAACTTATGTAATGTGTTGCTACTATGTTTTATGTTGCTACTAAGTTTGCTTAGTATGTTATGTTATCATATATTCATGATTAATATGTTATGTTATCATGATCAATGTATTCATGCTTAGTGTTTATGCAAAATTTCCTATATATATGATGTTCATGAGCTATATATATTCTAAACAGACTGTGACGATGGAAATCATCAAACTTTTGGTATTTATGGCAAGTCTTTGTCTTCCAATTTGGATGAGTGAAGTAATAGACTATGCTCACAATTTGGATGATCTTTTTTGAAGTATTAGCTCATGAAGAGGACATAATTGCATGTTTAGGATATATGTTCAATTCTTTTTGTTAATGACAAAGGGGAAGAATGGTATTAGAATGTTATGCTATTCTATGATATAGACTTGAATTGTAGACTCTAATATGTTTTTATACAGGGGGAGTAAGTATATAATGTCCTTAATTATTTAATTCATTTGTGATATACTTACATGTGCATAAATTGTTTGTCATCATTAAAAAGGGGGAGAATGTTGGATATAATGTCCCCAAGATATAGTTTTGATGATAACAATTATTCACTATGTGTATTATTGTGCACTAATATATCAATGCAGATAGCAACTTCAAATAAGCTCAAGATATATGAACAAAAGTGCAAGATAAGCTCAAGACAATATAAAGTAAAGAAGATGAAGTGCTTAAATATATACAATGTAAATTTTACATTTTCTTTCCTTAGAACTATTCTACAAGCCTTGATCACTCACAACACATACACACACATAGTGTTTAGAACATACTAACACATGCTTAGTGTATTTGTTAACAATAAAAATCCACTATGTTAACAATTAGAGTTTATAGTTAAGGAATGTGTCTCAAAATACTTCATTCATATCATTTTTAGCCCTTAGTAGTCGACCAATAAGATTTATAGTCGACTACATGTACACTAATCAAAATATTAAGTTTCTGTCATTTGACAGTGTAGTTGACTATTGACAATTGTAGTTGACTACTCATGCCTTAGACAAATTTTTAAGTTTCTGTCAAATGATAGTGTAGTCGACTACTTAAGACTTAGATTTTCAAGTTTCTGTAAAAATACAGTGTAGTCGACTAACGACTATATGTAGACAACTACTAAGGTTAAATTCAAATTTTAAGTTTCTATCAAATTACAGTGTAGTCGACTACTAGACAATATAGTCGACTACTAGACAATATGGTCGACTAATAAGAGTTGAATCTAAATTCTAGACTTGAAAATCCTAACTTCATAGAGTAGTCGACTAATGACCAGTGTAGTCGACTACTAAGAAAAATCCTGACTTCGCAGAGTCTGTTTAAACTCAGTGTAGTCGACTACTAGGAGTTATAGTCGATTACAAAGACAATTATTCTAATATTTTTTAAGTTTAAATTTATAAATATTTATAGCCGTTTTTTATTCGTTAATTGGCTTTAAAAACTTGTATTTTCAAGGGCTATAAATAATTATTAAGTTCATAAATTTGCATCGTTGATTCCTAGCTATAAGCTTTAACATTTGTGCATTCTCAAGGGTTCTAAAATTCAGATTTTTTCCTAAGTGTTAAGAAAAGTAAATTCTGAAATAGCCTTTGATCATCATCCCATATACAAAGTATTAAGGTATTTTTCAGAGATTAAAAAGTTCCTAAAGCCACTGTTACACATCACTACACATTCAAAACTTATAGGAATTGTTGTTATTGATTCAAGAAAAGATCTCTCGGGTGTGAGAGTTGTGATCTCTTAGTGAAGAGATTGTGTGCAATTTGAATGGTCTTGCAAATTGGCCAGTTTTGCTTTTTGATTTTATAACAGTTTTCAAAATCATAGTGGAACCCTCAAGCGGGATTTGCTTAGGGACTGGATGTATACCGGGGAGGTGGAACCAATATAAAAGCTTGCGTTTGTGATTGCAAATGTCTGTGATTGTTGCTACGTTTCTCGCAATTTATAATCTAATTTGCATAATTTTTTAAAAGGATCACTATTCACCCCCTAGTGTTTTAGTGTATATAGATCAGATCCTACAATTTTGGACTGTATCTCCACTTTCTTACTCTCTTCTGCCTTAATGGGCAGACTGTGGGTTAGGTCACTCCTACTCGTGGTCTGCGACAGGGATGTCCACTATCTCCATATTTGTTTCTTCTCTGTACGGAAGCTCTCTCGGCACTGATCATCAGATAGAAGGAGAATAGGTGCATCAGATGGTTATCTTGTTCATGGTTGGGGCCAAGGATTTCTCACTTGTTCTTTATAGATGACTCTTTGGTTTTTATTCAGGCTTTCCAGGCTGCTGCACAGGCTGTCCAAAGTACTCTACTGCTATATGAGTTTGTAACTGGTCAGAAAGTCAACTTTCAGAAGTCTTCCATCACCTTTAGCTCATGTGTAGATGAGGATACTAGGGCCTCTATTTTCTCTGTCTTGGGGCTTGATAGGGTCCAGTCATATGATCGATACTTAGGCCTCCCTTTGATGGTTGTAAGAAGCCATTGTCAAACTTTTGCTTCAATCAGAGACTCTTTTTGGAAAGGAGTCCAAGCTTGGAGGAGGGCTCTTTTCTCACTGGGGGCGAGAGGTTATGGTGAAAGCTGTTTTGCAGGCGATTCTATGTTATGTGATGAGTATCTTCCGCATTCCCTTTCTTTGTGCAGAGAGATTGAGTTTATTATTATGAGATTCTGGTGGGGATCGACTTCTGGTGAGAGGAAGATTCGCTGGGTTAGGTGGCAGAAGGTTTATCAAACAAAGTTAAAGGGTGGTCTAGGCTTTAGAGATCTGCAGATGTTTAATCAGGCACTGGTGACTAAGCAGGCATGGAGGATCATTCAGGATCCTTCTTCTCTGGTTAGTAGGGTTTTTAAGGGAAAGTATTTCAGAGACTAGAACTTCCTTTCAGCCGGTGCCGGCCCTGGCTGTTCTTATTTATGGCGGAGCATTATCTGGGGGCGAGAGCTCCTGGCCCGAAGTCTTAGATGGAGGATAGATGATGGCCAGATTATCTCTATCAGTGCTGATCCATGGATCCCAAGGTCCATTTATTTTAGGCCAATCACTTCTCCAATTGACCCTTCCAGGAGGGTGGCTGAGCTGATCTCTGCTTCGGGTACTTGGAATTATGATTTGATTGCTAATTCCTTTTGGCAGGTGGATCGGGAGAACATTTCACTTATTCCACTGCCCACTTCTCCTGTCCCTGACAGGCTTATTTGGTATTATGAGGAGAAGGGGTGCTACACAGTCAAGAGTGGATACCAACTTCTTCGCCGCACTTTGTCTGATGCTGCTTCCACCTCGGATTCTAGGGTGGAGAAGTGGTGGTCCTTGATCTGGCAGGTGGAGATCCCACCAAAGATGAGAGTGTTCCTTTGTCACCTATTCTACGATGCTCTCCCCACCCAGTTGGTTTATCTCGTAGGGGGATCTCTGTGTCCCTTAGTTGTTGTCTTTGCTATGTTGCCTTTAAGACTGCCCTTCATATTTTCACCGTCTGCTCCTTTGATCGTTTAGTGTGGGAGTCCTTAGATCTTTGGGATGTGATTGAAGGCTTTAGAGGTACGTCTTGTGATGATTTTCTATTCCATCTCACCTCGTTTTGCCCTGGGAACTCTCTAGTTTCGGCTTTCATGGCCTTGTGGTTTATATGGAGGGAAAGGAATATGTTCTCTTATGGTAGTGATGTTAGGGAGGCTTCAGTCTTGGTGACTCGGATTCTCTGTTTTGTGGAGGAAGGGGATAGGGTTCGAGGCCTCTCTCGTGACATTGATACCCCTTCCAAATGGCCTTCTGCTTGGTATCCCCCTACTCTTGGTCTGTTAAAACTCAACACAGATGCTGATGTTCTTATGGAAGGAGATATTGTTGGCTGGGGAGGTGTTATTCGGGACCACTATGGGCATATGATTGTTTGTTACTCTATGGGGCTTAGGGGTCCTATGACTATGGATCATGCGGAGTTGTTAACTGTCATGGAATGCATTCTCTTTGTTCGGCGTATGAACTGGAGGATTTCGGTGATAAAGATTGACTCCCTAAGGGTTGTCTCCTTAGTAGACTCTCATTCTCCTTTTGCTACCATGGCTCCTATTGCAGATGAAGTTCACGCTGCTTTGTCTGTTATTGGTGGCTCTAAATTTTTATAGTGTCAAATATTTAAATCTTTGTTTGTTTGCTTTCTTATACATAAATGGGTAGTTTTCTAGGGAACCCCCCTAACTTAGGTCCTATTTCACGTTACCACTCTTTTTTGATAAATAAATAAATAAGGGTGGCAACGTGAAATAGGGTCTAAGTCCCTAAACTTTTTAGAAAACCACCTTTAATTATACATTTTCTAGAAAACCACCCCTAATTTTAATTTTGTTAACATTGAACCACCTATGCACTTTTCATTCAATTCTCAATCCAACAAATTATATTTTGATAATTTTACCCCTACACATGTTTAATTTTTTTGAGCTTTGCGTATTATGGTTAAATATTTCAATTAGTTTTTATTTTTAATTTTGACACTACAAAATGTTTCTTTGCCCACAATGTTTTTAGGAAAAAAATACCTCAAAATAAAAATAAAGCCCCTCAGAGTCTACATCAATTTTCATTTGATATCAAAATGTTTTAAGAAAAACAACACCTCAAAACTTTAACAAAATTTAACTTTGCTACAAGTTCAACTAAGTTTGATCTTGATATACTAAATTGTAATAAATTTAATTTTGATTGCTAAAGTTAAAAATTTATTACAAAATTTAATTTTGATACCCAAATTTATAAAACAAACTTTTAGGGAAAATCATCAAAGTATTAATTTTAGATAGAAAATTGGGTGGAAAAGATCATGAGTTGTTCTATGTTAATGAAATGATGGCTAGGGATGGTTTTCTGAAACTTAAGTAATCCAATGGTGATAATATGTAATAAGGTCTAAATTACAAGTGTTATTCTTAAAGAAATCGTAAATAAATTTTGTAAGCTCTCAAATTGTCTATTTTTTAATTTCAGGAAATGTGGTTGAATGTGGCGATTGAGGAAATATCTTTAGCTTAATATAATTTTTAAAATACTTAAATAAAATCTTAGCTTATGTATATACACACCCACACACATTAGGATAGGGTAGAATAATTGGAGCTTATAATTATTAACTAGAGTCAATTAGGATACGATAGGATAGAATAATAATGTAATATCTAAAAAGATTAAGATTAAGAGTATTTTTATCCGTAGGAGTTTTTCCCGAAACTATATATGTGTGTGTTGTGTGTGTATATACATATTGTTGTGGATAATGTCAGATACGCTCTGACACCCGTTCTGCGGAATTTGCCCTACCGGATCTTGTGTTAAGCAATGGAAAAAAGAAATCACTACAAATCCAAAAAATAATTGCAAGAACAAAGAACACCGAGTTTTAACGAGGTTCGGCAACTTGCCTACGTCCTCGGGAGCCACACAAATGATTTCCTTTATATCAAAGAAGATTACAAAGCTTGTATAAGAGTAAATCTCAACTTGAGATTTCTCAAAAGAATCAACAAAAAAACAATCTGTTGTTCAAATAAAAAGGCGCGAGTTTTCCTACAAGAAAAACTCCTCTCTTAATAAATGCTACAGGAATCTCTGATTAAATGAACGAGTTTTTCCTCTGAAAAACTCGTGCTAAAGTAACGGCCGCCACCAGAGAATATCGCTGAGAAGAAGAAAAGAAGCGGCTACAACTTCTTATCTCGTGCTCATGGGTTTAAATACGAAAACCCTAGCCAGACAACTGGGTCCAGCTGTCTTCCAACATCGCAGGCGAACAAAAGGGGAAGAGGCGATCTTCGATTTCGCCTGGGAGAGTCGACAACGAAATTCGCCTGCGCCCCAGCTCCAATCTCGCCATCGTTGGACCTCGCCTGAAGCCCTTCGCGAGCTTGAAATTCGCCTGGGAGAGATCCGCCCGCGCCTAATGCCTTCGAGCTCGCCTGCAAGCTCTTCTCGCTCGAGCTCGTCAACTGGAGTCACCTGCAACCAGACTCCGCTTGCAGCCCTCAAATCCGCCTGCTCGAGTTCTGCGACCTCGCCTTCTCCAACTCAGCTTCGCCTGAAGCCGCCGATTCGCCTTCAAGAGGATCTAGCCAGCGGGGCATCTCCGAACTCGCCAGCAACCCTGCTCGAGCTCGCCTCCGCTGTCCATCCTCGCCGGAGGTCGCTGCGTCGGCCACTGATAAGGTAAGGGTCTACACCCATTACCAACGCTGTCCATCCTCGCCGGAGGTCGCTGCGTCGGCCACTGATAAGGTAAGGGTCTACACCCATTACCAATAATCTCTCACTTGGAGACCATACCGTCATCAGCAAGCTTTCTCTTAACAAGCATCTTCTTCTGTGTGGCTCCGCCCTCATCTCTTACATATGAAGGCCAACTGAAGTTGCGCACAACTCTAGTTTCTGAATGGTGACTGCTTTAGTCAACATATCTGCAGGATTTTGGCTCCCCAAAATTTTCTCTAACTGTAACTTCCCGTCCTCAATCATCGAGCGTATGAAGTGGTAACGTAACTCGATGTGCTTTGTTCTGGCATGAAACACTGGGTTCTTGGCAAGGTGTATAGCACTCTGGCTATCACAATAAAGAACTTCGTTCCCCCGCTTCAGACCTAATTCATCCAGGCACCCTATTAACCAAATCATCTCCTTGCTCGCCTCTGTCACTGCGACATACTCTGCCTCAGTTGTGGACAACGTCACAATCTTCTGCAAACGTGAGACCCAGCTCACTGCTATCGACCCTAAGGTATAACATACCCCGTGGTGCTTCGCCTCATATCATGATCATCGGCAAAATCTGCATCCACGTATCCCTACAGTACCAACTCTTTTCTCCCGAAACACAGTAGCATATTCATAGTCCCTCTCAGATATCGTAATATCCACTTCACGGCCTGCCAATGCTGTTTCCCTGGGTTGCTTGCAAACCCGCTCACAACTCCCACTGCATGGGCAATATCCGGTCTCGTGCAAACCATTGCGTACATCAGACTACTAATGGCTGATGAATACGGCACATTCCTCATGTGCTCCTTTTCTGCATCAGTCTTGGGTGATTGTTCACCAGACAATTTGAACTGGCTTCCAAGGGGCGTGCTAACGACCTTAGCATTCTGCATGTTGAATCTCTGAAGTACTTTCTCAATGTATTCAGACTGACTCAACTTCAACGTCCCCTTAGCCGCATCTCGGCTGATCCGCATCCCAAGAATCTGCTTCGCTGCACCCAGATCATTCATGGCAAACTCTTTTGCTAACTGCTTCTTCAGTTTGTTTATCTCCTGTAAACACGGTCCTGCAACTAACATGTCATCAACATACAGTAATAACACGATATAGCTGGTCCCGAACCTCTTGAAGTAACAGGAATGATCTGAATTGCATCTACCATAGCCATTGCTCTACATGAAGTTATCAAACTTCTTATACCACTGCCGTGGAGCCTGTTTCAATCCGTATAAGCTCTTCTTGAGCCTACACACCATCTCTTCCTTTTCTTCTTCAATGAAGCCAACAGGTTGCTTTATGTAGATTTCTTCATCCAAGTCGTCATGAAGAAAGGTAGTCTACACATCTAACTGCTCAAGGTAGAGATTTTCAGCAGCTACCAAGCTCAACACCACCCTGATGGTTGTGAGCTAGAGATTTTCAGCAGCTACCAAGCTCAACACCACCCTGATGGTTGTGAGCTTCACAACGGGGGAAAATATCTCCGTATAAGATGGTTGTGAGCTTCACAACGGGGGAAAATATCTCCGTATAATCCACTCCTTCCCGCTGTTGGAACCCTTTCACGACTAATCTGGCCTTGTATCTCTTCCTTTCATCACTCTCCTGCTTGACTCGGTAAACCCACTTGTTATGTAAGGCCTTCTTTTGTGCAGGTAGCTGGGCTAACTCCCATGTCTCGTTCGAGTGGAGAGAATCCATCTCTTCTTGCATTGCATGCTCCCACTGCTGAGATTCGCTCACTTGCATAGCCTCCTCATAGCATTCTGGTTCTCCGCTATCTGTCAAAAGTAGGTAGTCTAGTGACGAGAGATACCTGGGATTCGGTTTGGGTACCCTGGATGACCTCCTAAGTTCCTCGCCCTGGGTAGTCAGTTCTGCACCTGGAGTCTCCTCCGTTCTTTGGTCAGAATTAACGTTGTCTCCCCCATCTGGAAGTTCCTCCAAAGCCATGTACTCTGATGCGTCTGCATCCGTAGTGCTGCTCCCACTGCTTTGGCCCGCCTTGGCATTGTCCCTGTCCTTGTACATCACTTCCTCATTGAATATGACGTCTCGGCTCCTGATGATTTTCCTGTTCTTCTCATCCCACAGACGTTACCCGAACTCATCAATACCGTATCCAATGAATGTACACTTCAGTGACTTAGCTTCTAGCTTGTCCCTGACATGGTCACTGATGTGGACATATATCACGCACCCAAAGACTCTTAAGTGTGAGAGATTAACTTTCTTACCACTCCAAACCTCTTCCGGAATCCCAAAGTTCAATGGAACTGATGGTCCGTGATTTATCAAGTACGCTGCTGTACGCACCGCGTCTGCCCAAAAAGTTTTTGGTAGACCTGCATGTAGACGCATGCTCCTCGCACGCTCTGTCAGCATTCTGTTCATTCTTTTTGCTACGCCGTTCTGTTGTGGCGTCCCTGGAGTGGTCCTCTCCAAACGAATCCCGTTCAGAGCATAGAACTTCTTGAACTCCTCCAAATTATATTCTCCACCATTGTCTGATCTCAGACACTTCACTTTCAGATCTGTCTCATTCTCCACCATGGCTTTCCACTTCTTGAAAATGTTAAACACCTCTGACTTGTGCTTCATGAAGTATACCCACACCTTCCTCGAGTGATCGTCGATAAAGGTGACGTAGTATGCCGAACCGCCAAAAGAAGACACGCTAGCTGGACCCCATACGTCTATATGAACAAGCTCTAGCTTGTGAGCTTTAGGTGGTCTTCCACCCTTCAGAAAACTAACTCTCTTCTGTTTCCCGAAGATGCAGTCTTCGCAAACACCGACTTCCACCGAATCGATGCCGGTTAGCTTCCCTTCTAAGTGAAGAATCTTCATACCCTTCTCACTCATGTGTCCTAGCCTATTGTGCCATAGATCTGCACTCTCATTGCCTGCAGCAATCGCGAGGGTGTCACTCGCATGTGAAGTTAGGTAGAGGGTACCGGTCTTGTTGCCACGGGCAACCACCATTGTACCGTTAGAGATTTTCCATAAATCTCCGGTGAATGTTGTAACATGGCCTTCTGCTCCAAGCTGACCAACCGAAATAAGATTCCTCTTCAACTTCGGTACGTGTCTGACATTCTTCAGAGACCACTTAGTGCCCTTCAACTGTATTTGCACATCGCCTCTCCCAATTACACTACAGGGTTCATTATCCCCTAAGTATACTTTTCCAAAGTCCCCTGCTACATAGTTTTGAAATAGCCTTCTATTAGCAGTGGCGTGGAATGAGGCTCCCGAATCAATAACCCATGAATCGGAATCGCTATCCATAGCGAGAATCAGCGCATCTTGCACAATATGAGCCTCCTGCTCATTTTTCTTCGGTGCTTTACAGGTAGAAGACATGTGTCCCTCCTGGCCGCAGTTCCAACATTTGCCCTTGATAGGTTTCACCTTCGAGTTCGACCTCTTCTTCTTCGAATTCGATCGATTCCTGTTTTGGTTCCCCCTATTATGGCTTCTGCCTCTTTACTCGAGACTTAGGGCTGAACCTGAACCTTCTGATTCATTCAATTTTCTTCTAACCTCCTCGGATAGAATCATAGCTACCACCTCCTTCAGCTTCAACTTCTCCTTCCCTGCCGAGTTGCTGATTGTGGTCACGCAACCTGCCCAACTATCCGGCAACTGCGATAGTATCAATAGGGCCTGCACTTCGTCATCAAACTTGATGTCGACTGAGATAAGTTGATCAACAATCGTGTTGAACTCGCTGAGATGCATCGTGAAGGAACATTCTTCTGCCATCTTGAGGTTGAACAGCGTCTTGACGAGATGCACCTTATTTGAAGCTGACGGTTGCTCGTATATTGTTGCGAGCGCTTCCATAAGCCCAACCGTCGTCTTCTCCTTTAATATATTGTGTGCTACAGATTTTGCGAGGGCCAATCGGACCTGCCCCAAGGCTTTTCGATCCAATATTTCCCAGTCCTCGTGGGATTCTTTTTTTTTCTTTCCTCTTGCTTTACCCATCAACGGACGGTAAAGATCCTTCTGGTACAGATAGTCCTCCATCTGTGACTTCCAGTAGGCAAAGTCTGATCCGTCAAACTTCTCAATTTTTGATTTGCCTTCTTCTGCCATTTCTTACACACAAAGATCTGAACAAGAGCTCTGATACCAGTTGTTGTGGATAATGTCAGATACGCTCTGACACCCGTTCTGCGGAATTTGCCCTACCGGATCTTGTGTTAAACAATAGAAAAAAGAAATCACTACAAATCCAAAAAATAATTGCAAGAACAAAGAACACCGAGTTTTAACGAGATTCGGCAACTTGCCTACGTCCTCGGGAGCCACACAAATGATTTCCTTTATATCAAAGAAGATTACAAAGCTTGTATAAGAGTAAATCTCAACTTGAGATTTCTCAAAAGAATCAACAGAAAAACAATCTGTTGTTCAAATAAAAGGCGCGAGTTTTCCTACAAGAAAAACTCCTCTCTCAATAAATGCTACAGGAATCTCTGATTAAATGAACGTGTTTTTCCTCTGAAAAACTCGTGCTCAATTAACGGCCGCCACCAGAGAATATCGTTGAGAAGAAGAAAAGAAGCGGCTACAACTTCTTATCTCGTGCTCATGTGTTTAAATACGAAAACCCTAGCCAGACAGTTGGGTCCAGCTGTCTTCCAACATCGCAAGCGAACAAAAGGGGAAGAGGCGATCTTCGATTTCGCCTGGGAGAGTCGCCAACGAAATTCGCCTGCGCCCCAGCTCCAATCTCGCCATCGCTGGACCTCGCCTGAAGCCCTTCGCGAGCTTGAAATTCGCCTGGGAGAGATCCGCCCGCGCCTAATGCCTTCGAGCTCGTCTGCAAGCTCTTTTCGCTCGAGCTCGTCAGCTGGAGTCGCCTGCAACCAGACTCCGCCTGCAGCCCTCAAATCCGCCTGCTCGAGTTCCGTGACCTCGCCTTCTCCAACTTAGCTTCGCCTGAAGCCGCCGATTCGCCTTCAAGAGGATCTAGCTAGCGGGGCATCTCCGAACTCGCTAGCAGCCCTGCTCGAGCTCGCCTCCGCTGTCCATCCTCGCCGGAGGTCGCTGCGTCGGCCACTGATAAGGTAAGGGTCTACACCCATTACCAACACATATGGTGCACGGGTATGAACATGAACAAATCGCGTTAATTGAAAATAACAAAGATATTTGAAGAATCAAAGATACCTCAATTTAGCACTTAGCGATTGATTGATGATTCCTTAAATTTTAAAAACTTTTTGGGGGATTTTCTGTAATCTTCAAGGTTTTTTTTTGAAAATTTTAAAACTCGCTAAGGGGTTTTCTACAAAAAATTCTTGGTTATTTGCAATATCTTAAAATATTTGGGAGTTTAAAAAAAATATTTAGGGGTATTTCAAACTTCTATAACTTTGTATGGTGGTTTTTTGGTGGTTTTTTGTATTGGTTGGGGGGGGGGGGGGTGACGGGTTAAGCTTATTAGCTATATTTGTTAAACTTATGACTTAGTTGGTATATTTATCAGTTTGTTGGTGTACTTATTAGTTACTTGTTAAACTTATTAGTTAGTTATTAAACTTTATTAATTATTTGTTAAACTTATTAATTATTTGTTAAACTTTTGGTTATATTTTAAACTTTTAAGTTAGATGTTAAAACTTATGAGATATTAGTTAAACTTATAAGATAAATTGTTTAACTTATTAGTCTCCAAATTGTTCAAAAGTCAATTTCATTGATGTAATTGTTAAAACATTTCAACCATATGTTAGACGTATATTCAAAACATTTTGGCATGGATATGGATATCTTCACCTATAAGTTTCACCTATATCTCATAAGTTTAATAACTAACTAATAAGATTAACATCTAACTCAGAAGGTTAACAACTAATCCATAACAACTAACTAATAAGTTTAGTAACTGACTCATAAGTTTACCAACTATAACTAATAAATGTAACCACTTTGAAGTTATAGAAATTGGAAATAGCCCCACGAAAAATTATGAAAACGATCTAAAAATTTTCAAAAAATTGTAAATAATCCCCTAAAAATTGCAAAAAGCATAAAAGTTTAAAAAATTACAAATAGTCCCCTAACAATTACAGCAATCCTCTAAAAGTTTCATAATAATAACCGTTAAAATTTATAGAAACCCCCGTTAAAGTTTCAAAACTATAAATAAGCCCCTAAAAATTATAGAAACTCCCCTAAAACTTTTCAAAACTTGTAAATAACCACCCAAAAATTTACAAAAACCCCCAAAAAGTTTTGGAAATTACAAATAACCCCTCAGAGTTGTAGAACCCACCTCTAAGTTTTTAAAAGTGCAAATAATCCCTAAAAGTTTGCATAAAACCCCCTAAAAATTTCAAAGATTTCATATAACCACATGAAAATTTTGTAGAAAACAACCTCAAAACTTCCAAAATTTGTAGATGCCTTGTTATGATAATAGTTGGAAGGAGCTATAGGTTTTTTTTCTGCAACCACCTTTTTCCTAGATCGGTTGATAAGAGGGGGTAGTCTGGTGATATCGACAAAATACGGTACGTTTGGTATATGAAATAGCTGCAAGGGCCTAAAAAAGAACTTTTGGGCTTTGAAGAGATTTTTCTACGAGTTGACCAAGTCTCAGCGCTTAGTCACATTTGCTTAATGCAACTGGGGCCTAAAAGTAATTTTCCCTACTCTTAATTCTTAAAATACAGCTTCTCTATATACAACTTTTTTTTTTCCAAGTTCAACCCGTTGAAAGTGTGAAGGTGCGTGCAATATTAGGAAGATGGAGTCTCAAAAGGGCGAAAAAGCATAGTTATTCAATCTCTACTAGTGATAGGATCTGTAGGAATGTGTGCCCTTTAACATACGAAGATCTTGCTAATCCCAACTATTTTTGGTAATCATCTTCAGTCTTTATTTTGCTCAAGTTTTCTATACAAATCATTTGCATAAACTAATGAACTATCATTATGTAAAACATTTGGCTTGATATAAAATAGACCCCCTATTGGTATCACCCAATTGCGAAAAGATCCCATATAGTTCTATTTGCAGCAAATTTACCCCTTATAATATTGGTCCATATGCTAATATACCCTATTAGTGAACTATTCCGACTCTTTTAAAAATAAAAAAAAATAAAAAAACTACATGGAATCTTTCTCACCAATATAATTATAGGGGGTCTGCCTGCCTCCTTTGACCTTTTTGATGTTTTAAGAGTCCAAAAGTATTCAAGTAGGGGTCTATTCGCAAAAATAAAACATAGGGGTTTATTCGCAGTTGGGTGGTACTAAAGGGGTCCCTTCGCAATTAACCCTGACTATAGAGTATGAGATAAAAAGGACACATTGATCAGCTTTAATTTGACATCAATTTCAGCTTCAAAGATCATCCAATCAAGAGGGAATATCCACTGAGGCAGCGAGCAAATTAATGTACCAGTCAAGAAAACCGATGCATCAGCCTGTCCTCAATGAAACAGGATGCTAGCCTTATTATGCAAATGATAAGAAAACTAGGTTAACATGAATCAATCAAGCAAACCAGGAATATTTGCAAACTTAGCTTCAGCTTAGCAGAATTAGGGGTCCAATACATCCTCATTACGAGAAAAACTTACTGGACAGTACTACCACTGGAAGTAACAAGCTCACAAACTGCAACTTAATAAAGAGTTATAATGTGTTTGTCATAATTCTGCCATCACTGAGTATGTCTTGAACAGATTTATCCTTTGAGGAATTTCCGAAACCAATGAGCAGAGCTTTTGGGGTATCTTTTCAAACCATTTCTGTAGTCAACATAGTATATTCCAAACCGAACAGTATAACCAGCATTCCATTCAAAGTTATCCAAGAGAGACCATGCAAAATATCCTCTCACATCAACTCCTTTCCTGCAATAACTCCTAGTGTTAGATTTGTATGAAGTATCTCTTTGTAATGATTAACATTCAGTAATTTGACCGATTAGAATGCTCATAATGGTGATACTTGTGCCAAAGGCATGAATTTGGTTGTGAAAGTCGTCGCATTCAAGATATCACAAGTTAATGTTGTAGGAGGATAACTTGTGGGACTTCTACCTTAAATCTCCCAAGTGCATTGCAGTCAAGAACAATGTATTGATCTGAATTTCAGGTGGCTACTCTTCTAAATATATATAAACATTAACTGAAGAAGAAGACCTTATACCATGGATTTAGGAATTTTCTTGTGATAAAATAGTCTATCAATATATCTACGATAATTCTTTTTCCCATTGAAATCTAAACAAAACATCTTAGTTAGAAATAATGGAAAACATTGACTAACACAGTTCACCTAGAATTATGTTTAACGCACCTAATAGCTCTTTGAATATGATAGAGGTGTTGCTGATAATAGCTTATCCTTGCATCATCCTTTAGAGCTTCCTTAAGGGGTAAAGTTCCTTTGTTCACCTCATCAATACCTACAAGTCAAGTAAAATATTATCAGCCATTCCATGATATAAAAGGAAAAGATTGAATGAGGCTTTCTTCTTTTTACCATTTTCTGTTATGTAGATGATTGGACTGTTGTACTTGGATTTGGTATAAAGCAAGATGTCTTGTATGCCTTGTGGGTAGACATACAACCAAGGTGAAGCAGCCTGCAAAAGAAACAGTAACAGTAACCATCATTTCTCCTAAAGAAACAGAGGGGATGTATTTGTCCTTTTGAGAAAATAGCAAATGAGCATCTTTGGCAACTTTAGATTATAATCTGATTGGTTTATAATCCACAAATGACTTATAGTCAAGTGGATTATAATCCAAAGTGTTTGATAAATTTCAATGGATTGTAATCCATTTCCAATGGTAGTGTTTGGCAAATGAGTGGCTTGTAATCCATCCTTGTTATCAAAATAACCAAAAAGGGTTTGGAGATAGAGAAATAGAGTTTTGGAATTTTCTTAAATGTTAAGGGGTAAAGTGGCCATTTATTCGGTCAAACGATGTGGTTTATAAGCTAAGCTGGTTACCCCAACTTATTTTTTTTCCGACTTATTAGCCAAAATAAATTGTTTGCAAACTCAACTCACTGGCTTATAACCCACAAAAGTGGCCTACAAGCCACTTTGACAAGTTGCCAAACAATGCTCAGTATTTTATCCCACTACAATAGATCTTTGTAAGAAGTCACATAAACCAGATCATATGAAAAAGACATGGTTCTTACCCGTGGACCGATGGGTATGCCGTTGCGCTCCGCTGTCAAATATAAAAGAAATGTATTTAAAAAATGTAGTCCAAGTAATAGAAAGTGACATTTTCATAGTTATCTTTGACATGTAACATAGAAGCTACTGAATGGTGTACCAAAATTATTTAAAAATAAAGGTTTGTACAAACTTACAAGTGAAACTAGTATAGGAGAATCAAATTTAATTAAAAAAATGCAGGTACAAACTTACAAGTAAAAATAGTATAGGAGTCTGAGCTGTAACTTTTGTTAACGCGGTTTCTTATTGGGAGACTTCGAACATAATTTGTTGTATAGTAATTAAGTCCAACAAAATCAAATGACCCTTTCACCATTTCTGCTTGCTTCTTTGAAAATTTTGGAAGTCGGCTACCAACAAGAGCTCTCATATTAGACGGGTAATCTCCATGAGTTAAAGGGTCCATGAACCTATCCGAGTAATAAAAGATGTACAAGTTCAAACAATTGGGTTTATGAAATGTTAACAGTTTCATTAGGGACATTAAATATTCACCATCCAAATGTGAAATCAAGTGCTCTGCCCACTGCATCGTCATTCATCTTGGAGTTTGAGTAAGGTATAAACCAACCAGCATCTAGTGTTATGCCAATCTTCCCCTTTTGAGATACCTGAAAATATAAAACAAAAATATTTACACAGTAAGGAGACTTTACTTGAATATTTTACTTGTTGACAGTTAGATGGTTTGCGGATTTGGATGTTTTTCACTTAATCCACGATAAGTCTGTAAATTTCATGAAACCGACAACATATTTGGGCATTCTTCCCTTGACCCCCCAAAGTTTGAAAGTTCATGTAACCCACAAGTTGAGGAAATCCAGAAAACCTCCAAAAAAAAATTTTTCCCACTTAACCCCTATCACTACATTACATAAAATAGCACCAATTTACAGTTTAGAAGGACAAAATCACCAAAAACAAACTCAGGGGATTGGACGCTCCAACCTTGGAGCCAACAAGAGCAGAGAGAGAAAAACAAAGGGCAAAACTGAGTTTAGGGAGAAATTTAAAAGAGAAGATGAAGGGTTGTTTTAAAAAGTAGGGGTATTTTGGTCTTTTGACAAATCTGAGTTGAACATGACATATTAGACCTTACGAGGTTGCTTTCGGGTGTTTCTAACAAAAGTTATTAGGGGTTAAGTTGAATTTTCAAACTTTTTGGTACTAAGTAAAAAACGCCCTATGTTATTGGCAGTTATATGAAGTTTACCCTTTATGTTGAGTTGAGCAATTACTTGGAAACTATCTCTGTATAGCTTTACAGCAGCTGCATGGGCTAGTAGCTGGTTGTGAGATACAATGTAAGGCTCTTGGGCAGAGTCGCCAGCACTGCAGTGTTCAGTCTCTGAGGAGGAGCACCGCCCTGGTGCTGATAGACCACGACCATAGCTCAAGGAGCTAAAAACATGTGGTTCATTAAAGGTGATCCAGTGTTTAACCCTATCGCCAAACTCTTTGAAGCAAACTCCACTGTAGTCACGAAAATCCTTCCTGTAAAGGTATACATCAAGAGAAAGGTCATAGGGTAAGAGTAAACATAGTAATCCATTTAGTTGTCATAAACTGCTTCTATAATTGGAGGTCAAGAATGTTTCCTCACACTATATTGGGAGATAAGAATCCCTCATATTGATCTTCCAGAGCTTGAGGAGTGTCCCAATGGAAAAGGGTCACATATGGTTGCAAGCCTATATATGGCAGAAACAAATTTTTAGATGGAAGCAAAACATGGAACCCTGATTTATGCTATATATAGATATAAAGGATGTCAGAGTTAATATAGACCGTGGGATATGAGCTCATCAATAAGGCTGTTGTAGTATTTAACACCTTCCTGGTTAATACCCCCAGACAGGCTCCCATCTGCCATTAAAAGTGAAAGACTAACAAAATATTAGACAGATCAAATTGTCATGTCATCGCCTGAATTAGTTGAAATTAATGTGATGTAATACTTTCAAAGGATTGATGAGCAAAAATTATAGATAAAGAAATATAAAACAATATATGTTTCTACTCGCAACTGGAATAATGCCCAAATTAGCTGGAATAAATAACAATTCAGGAACAATTGGTGTTATTTGTTGATGTTATATGATGAATAGAATATTTTTTTTTTGGGTGGGGGGGGGGGGGGGGGGGACAAATTGGTGAAGATACAGTTAATTAATCAGGCATTTATGATATAGATGATGCACTACTGTTAATTCAGCTAAGGGTTATTAAGAAGAGAGACGAACTGGCAGTATTTCAGGTTGGTCTTGGTGGATACACAGGCTTCCGGTTGGGCTTAGAAGATATGGTAGCAGCATATACCTGTTAATGCTCTGATTTCTTCAGGAAAGTGGTGGTGCATCGTACAGCTCTACATTTAGTTGACGTTACGTTAATAATTCATTACTATGGAGTTATACATTAGAAACATTTATTTGGATTGGTTGCTAGCTAAAAAGGTTTGGGATCCTTTACAGTTTTCATGGACCTTTTAAAATTTTATATTAGAAGTTAAGCATACATATTTTCTTAGACTACATTGTGAACTCTATTCAATTCTTTAAATAAATTAAGACATGAGAGATGGACCATTGCTCCTACTTCTTGTGAATGCCATAGACAAAGGAGAAGAGATAAAGTTCTCAGATCATTTTATCCCAAGAAACCCATATCTCCTGTCCATTATGTTGACAACTAGCAGGAAAGATTAATTAAAACCAGAACTAAAAGACACAACATTTACAGGAAAACGCACAGACTAAAAACTCTAGTGCTCCTAAGACCTCAGGGAAAGATATGGAAATGAGCAAGAACCAAAAGAAAACTCAAGCTGAAGTCTAGGTGAAGTTTCAGTTAGGCTTTGCCTTAAAATCAATAAGCTAAGATGACAATGATATGGTCAGAGCTTCAAAAGATTTTCAGGCTAGACAGGTGACTTCAAAATGCAAGTTAGGGACACCACATTGTGTTATGGCAATATCGATAGAAATGATGAATATAATTTCAAATGTTTGTCTGCAAGTTCACTAAATTGTACCCAGAACTTAAATACAGAGGAAGATGTCATCCATAAGAAGTACTCAGGATGATTATTAGTGGAGGCTTGTCTAGTAATCTCTAGCCACCTACACAACATACATGAGGCCATAAACCACTATAGCACCAACTTGCTCTGCCTCAGACTGAAATTCTCTTGAAGTGCGGGCCCCAGTTTACTCTGAGTCATGCATTGCGTTTACCCAGGAGGCCACAAGGTCTATGAATCTGTTATCAAGTACTCCAAACAATAGAACCATTGCAGGGACTCACTGAAGGATGACAAACCTATGATATACTAGTAAAGGTGATCAAATTTTACAATATAAGCAGTCGGGAAGAAATTCCTGAGTTTACTATGAGGAAATCCCCCCCCCCTCCAGACAGAGGACGAGAAACAATCACGCCAAAATCCCCCTTCCCTCTCTTCTATATCTAAATTAGTTAGAGATTAATTTTATGAATTATATTCACGAAGGGGTATTAGTCTTATTATAAAATTTTAGCATTTTTAAAATAATATGGTGGAATATACAGATGCATTATTGCATTCAATCCTAGAAGCATTTTAACTCGCATCCAGAGAATGTAGAAGGTAAATTGGCAAAATGGTTTTAGATTTATGGGGTAAATTTGCCAACAGGTAATTTAGGGGGGGGGGGGGGGGGGGTGGGGGGGGGGGGTGGGGCGACATAAAAACCAATAATTTTTATTTCTATTATAAACTTCAGAGGAATTCGTTTGTATTTATGTTCGTTGAAACTAGGTATTGGTGGTCATATGCTGGGATATATACAATATCTACGCTCATAGGTGCAGGGGGAAGTTAATTCAAGGGTAAATTTCACAAAAATCCCCCACAACTTTGGGGGCATTTCCCACGAAAGAAAGAATTGGGCAGATAACGAGGCCCTTAAATTGAAAGAGACATTATGGGGAGTTTTGTGAGAAAATGTTTTGGCATTTATTTGGGGGGAAAAAGTTCAAAGGGATTTCATAAGAAACGACGCACAAGTCTTGGTTTTGTTTTACTTTTTCCCATGAAGGAATGGGTTGTGAATGGTTACAAGTCCAAAGAAATATATGCATAAGATAATAAAAGACCATTTAAAGATGATCTTAAAAAAATTCAGGCTGATGTGTCGTGATTTATATTGAAGATCGTCAAAAAGCACAGAAAAAAAGTTGAAGCAATGTTGTCCAGAATTAACACCAAGACAAGAGAGCATTTTGAATCACATAGGAAATTTATCTTCTTATAAAAAATTATAGTTTCTTTTCCATGAAATCAAATATTTTTAACCTACAAACCAAAGTACACAGAAGAGTAGTAATTCTTCCTTCGCTTGTTCTTTCTAGACAGAGATAAACCCTAGCTAACATTATATGCCAAGTATTAGGGAAGTATGAACCAGGAGAAAGAGGAAATAAGTTTTCTAGACAATAAAACAATTCAGAAAAGTGGAAAACCCAAGAAAAGAAAAAATTGATTGTGAAACCACGAACCTCAAAAAAGGCTTGTAAATGCTTCATATGCCAAGAAGTTGGCCACTATGCTAACAAATGTCCCAAAAAGAAAAATACAAATGAAACAGTAATAGAGGACATATTTGAATTTGGGTTAGATCTCATAGAGATAAACCAACTCCAAATTGATTCCAATAATTCATAACATTATATGCCAAGTATTAGGGAAGTATTAACCAGGAGAAAGAGGAAATGAATCAAGAAATGAAAATAATCCCTTAGAGTCAGCACAGGGAGATAAAATCAAGACATTCCTTGAATGAACAAAATCCCACAGAACCTCTCATTTACCCTTTTCAGATATCTACTCATTACTACCCTTTTTATTTGTATCAGGTTCTTAACAATTCTTTTGCCAAGTAAGCTATAAAGTTGCAAGCAGAAGATCAATTATCTTTGGAGAAATTTTATTTTAAGCACTTATGATGCTCAGTTTGCATTCTACATTAGGCAACTTTGAGACAGCTTTAGAGAAATATGGAGAAAAAAATGAAGTTCTTAAAAAAGAAAAGGTTCAAAAGATTTCTTAGTATATAATTTGTATGAAAAATTTATGAACTTATAGCAAATCTATCAGACTCTCATTACCAAAAGAATAGTGAGTGTTCACATCTGAATAACGAGCAAATTCTGCAAAATAACAAAAAAAACTTAAGTCTCTTTTCTTCTTTTGAGAGTCCCCATCAAGATTATAAATTGACAGGCAAATGGTAATACCATCATCTACTCTCATATTATAGGCATAAAGATGAGCCTGCATGAACCATCGAGGCATGGAATCTTGCCTGCTATTGATCATCATTAAACAACTTAGTGCTCTACTTAATGTCATATAAAGAAATAAAGGAAGTTTCCGAAGGAATCCAAAAATCAGTTGGGTCTTCTAAGATGAACAGGGTTTACAACAAGCGCGACAAGACTGGTTCATAATTGAATCTCAGAGGAATATGTAAACATAAATAATATTTAATAACTAAACTTGTTTGTAATATAATATGCTAAACCAACAACTATCAATTATCTTCAATAGCTTTTTGACATAAAGTATGAATTCTTACTTGGAAGGATCCTGGACCAAGCGATAGAAAATCTATAAGCATCCATTCCCATCTCCTTCATGATGTTTACATCCTCCTGCAAGATAACTTCATTAGGAATCAAGAGAAGGCAAGCCAGAGGGGAATCCATGGATTATTAAGTTGATGTTATATGGGATCAAAAAGCGAAAATTATCAACCCAACACACCTTGTAGCGATGGTACGAGTCATCAGCTATATCTCCATTGCTTCGATCAGCTATTTTTTCTGTTCAATAAACATATTATAATTTAAGCTATTTTTCTAGCAGTGCAACATATTTAGCTGAAAGTTAAAAGTTGGATGGATTTGTAGTCAGCACCATCTTGTTGGAGCCAAAATTGAAACCCAAGGTAAAAGCTAAGAGTAATTAATTTCATAAAAAAGAAGTCTCTCTCTTATTGCGTTCAAAATGTAGGAAATAATGTGCACAAGTACCTAGTGATCCAACAGTCCCAAAACAACCAAAATGCCCGAACACTGTAACAGAAATAAATGCTCTAAGAGAAAGCTAAAGCCTCTATGCTGAAAGTGGTAAGAAGTTATTTCCTTTCCAAGTGGTAGCCGCGCAAAGCATCACTGTCATTGTACATAATATTCATTCATGTATTCAAATGTAGGGCTCGGAGTGTGGTCTGTATCTTTGTAACCAGTTCTTTTGGGTAATGAAATGGCTGGGGATCTCCATTTGGAGATTACATTCTTATTTCTCAAAGAATATATATATATATATATACTTATATATATATATATATATATATATATATATATAATATATATATTATATTATATATATATATGAATCGAAAAATATGGTATGCTTGGTACGAAGTAAAATTTTGTGTGTTTGGTAGTGAAGCTAAAGTGGTATAATCCCCTCCACTCATTCAAATAGGGATCATATTCACATGGGTTGAGGAGTGCATGGGGGGATATGTAACTATTTGAATAGTGGAGGATTATGTCACATCCCTACCAAGCACAATACACATTTCTCTCTCTCTCCTCTCTCTCTCTCTCTCTCTCTCTCTCTCTATATATATATATATATATATATATATATATATTATATTATATATATATATATATATATTTATTTATTTATTTATTATTTATTGCTACAAGATATATGGAAGACGATTATAAACTTTTTTATTTTTTTGAAAATATTACAGGAAAAAACTGCAAAATAACTTTCCAATAATTAGTTTTTCTGCAACATCATTATAAAAAACTTGCACATAACATTGCCTTTTACAATTCATCAAACAGTTAATCTCTAATTAGAATCAATGAAGAAAAGGACAAGACCTGGGTGATTGTGGGTGTACGTATCCCAAATACTTAGCCCTTTCCCGCCTTCTCTTGCCGCCCCTTCGTACTGTAATTTTCAAACAAAATGAAAAGAAAAAACAAAAAAAAAAACAAATTTACGAATCGAACCCAAATTGAAAAAAACAAGCTCGTCGGTGAAGAATCTGAAGGACCTGATAGGCCGAGGAGGCGACGCCGAAAGTGAACCCAGAGGGGAAGTAGCTTCGATTGAGTTGGGCCGCATTGTCATGGGCTAGAAGCCCATAAGAGAACATAGAAACGAGAGTTGTAAGAGAATGAATCACGACGAGCAGCGGCCTCTGAGAGAGACGACCCATTTGTTATTGCTTGAAGAAAGATTAACTCCTCTGAATGCGACGAGATTCTTTTCTATACCATCTTGATGAACTTTTCGATTTTTTTTATCGAGAGCTCCCTTAAATTAGATTTTAATGATCATATCTATTGCCCCCTCGATCTCTGATCTCTAGGTTGTGGTTGGCTTTTACTTCTTTTTTTCCCCCTTCCTTTTTTTTTCAATGATAGAATATATATACAGACATGTAATGGATTGATGTACTAATGGTTTCTTTAATGTTTGGCTTTTTCTTTTTCTTTTCTAATTTTCTTTTTTGTAATGATAGGATATATGTAGGGCTGAGCCTGGTTCGGTCCAAACCGAAAAAACCGACCGAACCGACCCGAAAAAATCGGTTTTATGAGTAAGGCGGTTCGGGTCGGTTTGAAAACTTTTCAACCCGAACCGACCCGAACCGACCGAATATAGTGCAATACTACACATTCTGATCTCAAACACTACCCGACCCGTCCCCAAAGAGTCAAAGACTCAAACTCTAAACTCATTTTCTAGATCATTATGGGTTGAAAACAATATCATTATATCAGTGTTTAATGCTTCATAATCTCTTACTTTGTTGATATTTTTTTTCTTTAATACAGTTTGTTGTTTGATAAGAAGTTTGATAAGAAGTTTGATGAAGTTAGAACCGATTAAACCAAACCGAACCGACTTGCAACAATTCGGTTCGGTTTTGAATTATAGACGGTTCGGTTCGGTTGTTCAAATTTTGGTAAAAGCCGAACCGAACCGACCGTTGCACACCCCTAGATATATGTATGCATATAATGGATTAATGCGCTGGTTTCTTTTTGTCCGTTTGCTTTCAAAAAACTGTGACCGAATCCCAAACCCTTGACTGCCTCAAGTCCCTAACTGGCAAAATGAATTTGACGCGATCTTGGAGCGCTGTGGTAAGCGGATCACATCATTGGGCTCAAGCCCACATGTCAGTAAGCGACGGTGTTGGATCTCACATGTTTGGCAAACTGGGTAAACCAGTTTACAATGAGACCATTTGGCGAATTAAAAAAATGGAGAAAAAATAGTACTTTTGATGTTTAAGATAGAACTAGTCCAATAAAGTCTAATTTAAATTTAGCATAATCTATGTTAAGTGGAGCTAGTTCAAAACCAGCCTACATTATTTTCAAACTTGCTAAACACACCCGAAGATATCACCATATAGGCTGATCGATACAATTTTGCATCACCTATATAGTGTTAGTATGAGAAGTTGTTACCTACCTTAGAACAATATCTAGTATAGACGTCTAAAAGATTGATCCAACCAAATGAAATTAAAGCCCAACATCTATGCTTACAAGCATGTTATTCAGTATAGGTCCTTCCTCACAGCTTGACCCAACAAAATGAAATGAGTGCCCAACGTGTATATTGTACAAGCCCATTATGATTGATTTAGGCTTTTTTTGGGTCAAAGAAAGAATTTTTATTCATCACCAAATATGAAAGATATAGCACATCAAATGCTCAGATAGGATCTGAGAGTACAAAAATCATCCAAAAGAACATCTCTAAGTCAAAAAACCACCACGCAAAGAGAAAATCACATTCTGATTTTTCCTGCTAAGGGCTCATTAAGGATGGTGATCCAAATATCAGTCTTGATCTCTCTAACCAACTGCGATGTGCTCCTGCTTTTTTGCTGGAAAATTCTAGCTTTGTATTCCCTCCAAATGCTATAGATAGTTGCTGTCAGTGCCAAGCTTTTGAGCTGCTGCTTGAGTCCCTTCCCCCGCAATCTGACAGTGAACCAATCCAATACATGATTCCAATGACAGGAACACCAATTAAAGCCCATCCAATCCATAATTTTGTTCCATACTTCACAGGAAAAAACACACTCGAAAAACAAGTGATTCCTGGATTCACTACTTTCACCAGCACATAGGCTACATAGGTTACAATTGATGATCCACTTAATCCATAGAGATTCCTTGTTGATATAAATGTGCCAGATGCATTTGATAGCTGAAGCAACATTCCAATTGAGGGCAGAAAAAATCCCTAGACCCCCTTGATCCTTGCCCATGCACACTCTCTCCCACGAGACAAGAGATGATTTGAATGTTTGATCAGATTTATCCCACAGGAACTTTCTACAAAGCTCATAAATTTTTTCAGCACACTAACAAGCAATATATAGTTTGAAGTCCAAAATATTTTAACTCTAAGAATCACACTCTTAATGACCTGCAGCCTACTAGCATAAAGATTTCTATGCTTTAACCAGTTTTGAAACTGCCCAGTTATCCTTATAAAGAGGGGATTGTAGTCCATGAATGACAATCTTTTAGATATTAGAGGTGTTAGACCCGAGAGGGGGGGGGGTGTGATTAGGGTCTTATGCTAATGTAATCCGATTTTATACCAATTAAAACTAATTAACAAGTTATCCTAGCATGTATGAAATACAACAAGATATGTGAGCTAGGATAAGTGATATACACAAGGATAAACAAAAATAATCTACAAATGTGATAGGGCAATATGAAGAGTAATACACAAAGTGTATATAAGATATGAATACAAGAAAAAAATACGCCAATGCAATCACAAACAAAAGATATGATCACGAAGTTCGGTCCCCACGACCTACGTCTCCGCTCCTCACCTCGATGAGATCTCCATTATCATAACCGGGTTTTCTACGCTCACCCGAATAACATTTACACCACACAATACGATTTTCTAGCTAACCGAAAACTTTACAATCCACACTCTTGCAATCTCACTTTACACCCTCTAAGTGTTGGTCTCTAGCCCACGTCTCCCTCAAGTGTTAGGAATTATAACCTACCTCTAGGCATTACCACCTATCCTACTCCTCTTGGGACGACCCCGTCTCTCACCACACACTCCTCTCGGTGTACTAGTGTAATACAAAGTGATCTTCACAATTAGGCTCACAATACAACAATTTTGTTCTCTACAATAGATAAGAACTCAATATAGACTTACACCCAATGTCACAATCCCACAATCCAAATTATACTATGAATGTAAATACAATAAGCTTAATGTGGGTGTGTGTAACAATGAGATTTATCAAATCTAAACTCAATATAAAAACTAGCTTTAATAAATAATAATCAAATAAATATGCAAATGTAAAGCTAGATATGAGTTTAGAAAACTTCTCAATAGATCAAGAGAGAGAAAGAAGAGTTGGATGCTCAAACACCGATGGATGATCTTCCTCAAGCTCTTGTGAAATTGTTTTCACTAAACAAACTCTCAAATGCTTAAAAGCTTTTTAAACAAACTTAAACCAAACATAAACCATTGTTAAAACTTTCTTAAACTTGTTTAAAACACTCTAATTCTTGCCCTAGTAGTGGGGGGTTTGAGGGTTTATATAGGAAGAGAAAACAACAGCCAAATCCCCAAATAAAAGACCAAAAATCCCAAAGAATCAGAAATCTGATTCTGTACAAAATATAGTCGTTGCGCGATCGACAGTCGACTATGGGAATTTAACGATTGACCGTGAGCAGCTTAGAAACAAAGTCTGCGCTTTGGAAAATAGCCGGTCGACCGTGGCGGTCGATCGCGAGAGAGCTGATGCTCTCTGGACTTCATCTGGTCGACCGTCACGATCGACCACGAGCCTCTGAAAAATATACTGAGTCTCTGGACTCAAGGCGGTCGACCGTGGCGGTCGACCGCAAACTGATACAAGAGAAAAACAGGTTTTGAAGTAGTTTTCTGATTTTGAAACACTGTTTAAAAATGTCAAATAAATTCCAAAAATTATGGAACTTTGGAAAATGATTGTAGACATGATAATAAATATGTTACAAAAACTAGTTTTCAAAAAGGACCTACCAAATATAAAATATCATCATTTTACAAATAAGTCCAAAACATGAAAATGTAAACACATGAATTTTGACATTTTGGCTAAACCATGTTTTAAAACTTTACAAAATAATTATATAGACTTAATAAAATATGTATATGATTGTTATTAAGTCCATAAACCAAGAAAATAATATTTTTACAAAATTACATATTCTATGCAATATATTATTAAACACAATAGAATATGAAACAAATGAACATGTGAATAAATCTGTTTGTTGTTTCATATCTATGTAGCTAAACCAAAAAACAATAATAAATATAAAATATGTAATTTCATATTTATAAATATGAAAACCCAAAAAACATGTATGTATATATATAACTATATATATACATAGAAACCAAAAACATATATGTATATAAAACTATATATACATAGAAGCCAAAACTAAAATGTGTGTGTGTGTGTATATATATATATATATATATATAACATAAAAACCAATATAATGCGTGTGTATATATGATTGAGCTTAAAGTACCAACACACATAATATAACACCTAAACTAAATGTACCCAAGCAATCTTGATCTTCAATAAGCTTGACTTGGTACACTTTGCGGATGAAGCTTGAACTTGGTTCTTTAACTTGAATTGGAATACTTCACTCCATAATTCCGCCAACCTCCATTGGATATGACCGTGAATACGCAATTCTATCCATCCTCCGACATGTTGTTTGCCTACAATAAATAGAAATCCACAAACACTAGACAAACAACATTAGTCGTAAATTATTTGTTAAACATCATCAAAATAACAAGGCCAACAAGAGGGACCCCTAGATACCTGATCGGCAATGCACCAGGTGAGAAGCCCAGAAGATTATGAAGGGAGATTTTAGTATTGTCATCAACACTACCATAGTAGATAGAGCTCTTCTCAGCATTTGCCTCCAAGCTAGAAATGGTACTAAACTCCATGAAACATTGGTAGAGCTTGGACACAGAATAAAGGTCACCATTAGAGAATAGGAGCAGATCATCAGCAAAAACAAGGTGAGTTATTTTAAGTTTTGCACATTTTGGATGATATTTGAATAATCTGTCATTATCCAAGAGACTCAAGCTCCTAGAAAGATATTTCATGCCTAATATAAACAGGTAAGGTGAGAGAGGATCTCCTTGTCTAAGTCCTCTTTGACCCTTGAAATATCCATGGAGAGATCCATTAAGAGAGATAGAGAATTTGGGAGAGGAAATGCATGCCATTATCCAGTTAACCATGGCTTGAGGGATGTTCAGCCCCTTGAGCATATCAGATATAAATTTCCAGCTGATTGAGTCAGAT